ACAGTATCGTCCAATGAGGTCAGAAATCAAAAGAAACTCATCATCTTGGTCGAGCATCATGCATGGCTGAGTAAAAACAGCGACATAAATTCGATATAAGGTTTAGTCACAGAAGGACGACAAGAGGAACAAGCAGAAAGGCGATCAAATGACATACAAGCAAGTTGAGAGATAAAAGCTTTTGATGCAGGAAATAGTTACGATATGGAAAGAAGCAGCTATCCTTATAAACACTTTAACAATAAGTAACAAAACATACCTTGTAAATCACAGGAGTGTCACATACACTGTAGTTATACAGCTCTCCCAGATAGCAAGCAGTCGCAATCGCCTTTTGATTGAAGACTCCAGGCAACTCCAATGATATCCTGCAGTAAATTTTGATAAAGCAAATCACAGTGATGGTGGAGCTATACCTGATCATTTCTTGGCACGCATCAATCACATATGTAGAGATCCAGTCATAATGGGTTAATCCTTGGAGTCCAGCGACTGCACTGGCTAGGTGGAGGAGGTTGGCATACGGTAACAGCCAAGGAGAGGTCAGATATTTCAAACACCATCCTAAAAAATTCCAGATGATGTAAGATTGGATAAACTACTGCTGTACTTACCAGAAACCGTCTCATCATCCCATGCTAACCTTCTAATGCACTTTATATTGGTGTTCACATTATGCTCATCAATGTCAACAACCAGATGCCGGATAAAAATCATAAGCGGAGGTTCAGCTTGGGCCCTCCTGGCAGCTGCCGAGTCTGTTGGCGGTATACAGGCGAAGAAAGCGTTATCTATCAGCATCTGAATTGATGAAATAAAATTATAAGAACAACATAAGAGATGCTTGAGCTTACCGTCTGTCGCACATCTTTTATCCGCTCCTTTTTCTTCTGTACTACATCCAAGATGATTTTCATCTTCGGATGACTGTCGCTATTTCTAAACGGCTGTTCGTAAAGAAATAAAAGACAGGATCAGGATGGATCACCAAAAAATGATTAAAAAGGTCAGCATGGGTAAATCATGAATATTTACAAATAATCGAGCGATTTTGTGAAACACGAACCTGTACAGGTAGTAACCAGCAGTCTCAATCATCGCGCAGACCATATCAACAGAATGGCCACGGAAGTCGTAAACCAGTTGTCGAAGGCAGGAAAGAGCTTCAGCGCGTGGGATCACACCGAATTTTACCTGAGAGTATTAACAGTGACAATCTCCACTATTAGAAACTAACAAAATGCGATAAAAATTTTCAAAGCATTTCAAGCACATAGTCAGCGCAACTGAGACTTCTGCAAGCTAGTTACATACAGGATACGAGCATGATGGGACAGATAGATATTTAGCTCAATTAAAATAAAAAATCACTTACAAGTTCAGATATAAACATGACACATTTTATTTTCTCTTCAACTCTTTCTTGACCACTCCTCTGTACATAATCCCTAGAAAGAAAACATTTCAGCTGAGTCGAGAAGGGTTTCAAGCAGAGACTAACCTAAACTGTTTTATGAGCATTGCTGACAATTCGGTAGTCAAGTCCGGCATCACTGGAGAAAGAGAGGCAACAAGGCGTGCATAAAATGGCAACAGGTCCAGACGAGAAGAAGGCACTCCAAATAGCACTTTGACGAGCTTTTTACGATAAGTCTATAATATACGAGTATGTCACACATAGTGATATAGACAATGGGACATACCTTCGTATTCAGATTTGAAACGAAGTCGAGGGCACTTTGGTCCGTGGTGTCACGAT